TTAAAAAAAAAATGTATTACTGAAAAAAAGGGGGGGGGCAAATAGCTCAGTGGATTGAAGTGCCTGCTTAGAGAGGCTGAGGACTGGGTTCGATCCCCAGCGTGCTGTGCTGGCCTCACCCCCAGGGCATGCTGAGAGAGCTACTGAGATGGGGCGCTGTGGCACAAGCCTGTAGTCCCAAAGCCTGGGAGGCTGAAAACAGGAGGATGACTACGGGTCCGATCTGTATAATGAGACCCTGTAGACTCTGTCCAAATACATTTAAAAAAAAAAGTATTTCTGTAATACACACTTGCCTCAATACTGCCCCTCGCTTCAAATACACTTACCTCTCTGTTCTTGTACACTAGCCCATTTCTTTTTTTTTTTTTTTTTTTTGATATAGGGTCTCACTATGCAGATCAAACTCATAGTGATCCTCCTGCCTCAGCCCTCCCAGCGCTGGGATTACATGCATGCACCACCACACCCAGTTTCAGGTCCAGCATGGGCACCCAGGGTCCCAGGGCCAGCACAGCATGTGGTACCAGAGATCAAACTCGGGTCCTTGTGCTTGCCAGGCAGGCAGTTACACCGCCAAGCTATCTCCCCAGCCCCGCAATCCCATTTCTGCAGTAGTTCTGAAGTCCTCTTTCCTGAGAGTCTTTCATGGTGCTGTTGTGGCTGCCTCCATCCCATGAACTGATCTAAAACCTTTCCTTTTCATGGACAGTGACTCTGCGGGAAGAGCCAGAAGTTGCACAGTGCCAGATCCAGTGAGGAAGGTGAATGAGGATACAGCATTATGTTTCTATAAGCCCGTCTTTCCCTCGGATGGCACTTGACAACAGTGTTCACTATTTTTTTTTTAAACATTTCTGATTATACCTCATAAAGACATTCACAAAAGAGGACTTCTAGTACTGCTTCAGAGTAGTAAGAAGGGGACATGTGTGTTTGAAGCAAGAGGACTATATATAAATTTTTAAAAATACTAACATTTCATGGTATATTTTCTTCCTATCACAGTTTGCCTCTTTAATCTCTATCTATCAGAGCTTAAAGTAAGATCCTAATTTGAGAAATAAATACAGTGCTGTACATTCAAGAAAATGCTGTTTCACATGGTACCTGAAACCTATCTGGTGTTAGCATAAATGGAAGGTCAAAACAGAAGCAAGCTAAAAAAAATTTCATGGCAATCACAACATTCTCCATACAATATGCAAATACAAGATATAAAGAAACTAAAGGGCTGGAGAGATGGCTCAGTGGTCTAAAGCACCTACTTGAAACAAGCTTGGCAAAGCACAGGGACCATGGTTCAATCCTCCAGCACCACATGCCAGCCAGCCCCGCCCCCTGGTGGGCTGAGCTGGCCACACACACACACACACA